AGCGGAATTCATGCCAAAAATTTGCCATCTCTGCGCCTCTGATATCCGTATTCTTGCCATTCTTCTTAAAATGATTTTGCATTCAGAAATTCGGGACTTAAATATGGATTTGATGCACGAGAAAATAGTGCATATTGGACGTCAAGAAGGGAGCAAGTTGCACGTGGGGAAAAAAACACGCCTGATTTAAATGTCACACCTGAACACTCACATCCTTTTAATTATGTTTGAAATTATGAACATTGCTCAACATCATGAAAATTAAACCTTATTTTCAATAAGCAATCCTGAAAAATATTTGGGGGTGCTTAACTTTTTTCCAGGTGTATATATTAAAACTGTTGGGATGAGATATATTAATAGACACACTTTCTTTCATGATTGATTAGGCACATTAAATACATTATGAATTATTTTCAACACACACATACACTTTTTTGGGTAGTTGAGTAATTATATTAAATGACAGTGCTAAGGATTTAGTGATTTATTGATGATTAGAAGCAATATCTGCTTGTCATGGATTAAGAATATGTAAGACGTAGATAAACAGGCTTTTTTTGTGTTTTTTACTAACATTACTTCTCTGTAAAGAGTAATTTCCTTGTATGAATCTATACTTTTGATTAAAAAATTCCAGGTTATTTTAATAAAACCGTACTTGAATATTGCTTTTTATCTAATATTCATTGTTTGTCTATGTATTTAGCCTTGGCATAGAGGCTCATAGAATGGCTCAGAGTTTTTTTGTTTTTTTTCAAGTACAAACTTTTAGCTTGTAGCTCTGTCATCTTTTGACTGATTTGAGATCTAATTACAGCTTGGAACTCAGGAGGTCAAACCCTTTTGATTGATTTATTTGACCATGCCCAAGGTCTCAGAGATTAATTAACTCTAGTTCTGCCTAAAAGAATTTCAATTTGAAGGTAGGCTGGTAGAGATTCTGATGAGTAATAAAATTGAATCAGGTATACTCGAGCCCCATGCTTGGGTATTGCTGGCACACAAAAATATAGCTAATAAGAATGAAAAAAAGGTCTTGTAGATTAATTTACTGTAATTCTGACTAAAAGAATTTCAAGTGTTGTGGCTTTTTTTTTTATCAAAGTTTTTTTTCTTCAATTTTTCAAAGTGACAAATAATTGATGTAAAGTTTTGTTGAAATAAAACTGTATATATTGAAATACATGTCTCACCTCTGCTTATTAATCAACATTGTCATTTATAGAAATGTTATAATTTGAGCAGGAAGAGTGGAGCAGGTTGAAGGAAAGTTTTGACAGTCTGCAGTTAGAACATAAGAAATTGCAAGCAGCCCATAAGTCTCTCAGGACAGAGGATAGCAACCTGAAGCTAGAAAACACTAGGCTTAAAGGAGAACTAGTAGAGTTTCAAGATGAAGCTGCCACTTTGGAAATCCAGGTTTCAAAGCTCATTGGGTATTGTAAAGTACGTTAAGAAGATTTCTTACATTTCAAGATACTTGAAGGATTTGTAATCTCTCAGTTGAGTTGATAAGTGTTTTATTTATCGTGTTTAGTATCTTGAAAGTGAGTACTTAATTCTTTTCTAGGCCTTGTTTTAGCTGTATGATACTGAAAGTCACTTAACTATATTGAAAACAACTTGAATGGTATGAAAAAGGAACATTTAACTTCCTTTCTAGGCCTTGTTTCACTTGAATGGTATGAAAAAGGAACATTTAACTTCCTTTCTAGGCCTTGTTTCAGTTGAATGGTATGAAAAAAGGACATTTAACTTCCTTTCTAGGCCTTGTTTCAGTTGAATGGTATGAAAAAGGACATTTAACTTCCTTTCTAGGCCTTGTTTCAGTTGAATGGTATGAAAAAGGAACACTTAACTTCCTTTCTAGGCCTTATTTCAGTTGAATGGTATGAAAAAAGAACATTTAACTTCCTTTCTAGGCCTTGTTTCAGTTGAATGGTATGAAAAAGGAACATTTAACTTCCTTTCTTGGCCTTGTTTCAATTGAATGGTATGAAAAATGAACAATTAATTTCTTTTCTAAGCCTTGTGTCAGGTTGATGGTAATAATAATTAACACTTAATTTCCATTTCTCAGTTTGGTTTTAATAAAAGTGAAAATTCAATTTCTTTCTTAGGCCTTGTCTCAAGTTAATGGTATTGAAAGTGAACAAGGAACTCTTGTAGACCAAATATTTAGCCTTCTTGCTGACTATCAAAATTACCTAATTTCAATGAGTGGGGACTCTTTTCCATCTGTCACAGAAACAGAATTGTGAGTTGTTTTTTTTTTATCTATTTTTATCTATTTCAGGTTAATATACTTTTGTTTACATATTAAATTAGTGTTTTAACTTAGTATCTTTCCTTTGCCTCATTCTAATGAAAATCCTGGTGTGGATTTTTTATTACATTTTAATATTTTACGAGGATGTTAGTAATAATGATATAATATTTGAATTTGTTTCATCATTTAATATGTCAGTTTGAAAATATTGTTTTAGACAATATCTATTTGAATAAATTTGGATATCCATCATCTTAAATTAATCTGATGTGATTGTATTGAAAATCAAATAATTTCTTTTGCATTTTATTCTTGTCTGATTACTGCTCAGAAATGAAACTTAACAAATAAGTATCTGGAATAATTGTGATCTGTAGTAGTTATCATGTAATAATTATGATCTGTAGTAGTTATCATGTGATAATTATGATCTGTAGTAGATATCATGTAATAATTATGATCTGTAGTAGTTATCATGTAATAATTATGATCTGTAGTAGTTATCATGTAATTATTATGATGTGTAGTAGTTATCATGTAATTATTATGATGTGTAGTAGTTATCATGAAATTATTATGATGATAATTATTACATGATAACTACTACAATCATAATTATTACATGATAACTACTACACATCATAATTATTACATGATAACTACTACAGATCCTGTAGTAGTTATCATGTAATTATTATGATCTGTAGTAGTTATCTTGTAATAATTATGATCTGTAGTAGTTATCATGTAATAATTATGATCTGTAGTAGTTATGTAATAATTATGATCTGGAGTAGTTATGTAATTATTATGATCTGTAATAGTTATCATGTAATAATTATGATCTGTAGTAGTTATCATGTAATTATTATGATCTGGAGTAGTTATCATGTAATAATTATGATCTGTAGTAGTTATCTTCTGTAGTAATTACATTGTATAATAATTATCATTTGTAATAGTTACCTATAATAATTACAATCTGTAGTAGTTACCTATAATAATTATCATCTGTTCAAATTCTATTTATTTTCTGAGTAAAAGTATTTAATTAACGCATTCTACGAATTGTACATGTGAGAATTACATTATGGGAATTATATATAACAAATGACTGAGTCTGAATGTGAGTATTACTGATTGCAGGGGAAGAAGACTTTATATGCTAACACAAGAGAAAAGGAAAGTGGACAAATTAGTCTCAAGACTTCAGCAAGAACTTGATGAGATTGATAAAAGGTGTTTTCCTTTTCCCAAATGTCTTTTTTTTTTCCTGCTGTAGAATGTAGAATTATTCCAAACTTGTATACATTTCCCATCATTTTAAGTTTTTAAAATCTATAAATTTATTGGTAAATTCATGTTATAAATTTTTTACAAGTATTAGGCTACAGTTTTTAGAATCTCAAAATATTCTTAAATTTCACTTTAATGTTCTTGTGATACTAACGTCAGATGTTTTAATCAGCGTAAGAACTGTTAGGTTATATAGTAGTGAGTGCATTTTTAAAGAACTTGTAGAATAAAAATTAGCGGTTCTCCATAGTTTACATTGTGATTTGGTACAAATTATGTAAGGTGTTCTAATTTTATGTAAGTTGATTGTTTTACTGTACAATATTATCAACAGAGTTAACAGAACTGTAGCATTTACTCCTGTTATGAGAAGAACAAGATCCGAACAACTGTCCAAGTTTCAGAGGGTAAGTTGATTGTTGTTGTTGTTGTGTCAGTGTAAAATGTCTTACACTTCTGAACAAGTTTAATTGCAAAATTTAATATCTTATATTTCTGTAATTGAATCAAAGTTTTTATTGAAGATTAAAAAGAAAAATAGATATAGGAACAGAATTTGAGAGTGTTTATCAGTCCGTTTACAAAAACGAAATTATCGTCACTTCCGATCACGTATATCAAAACTAAAATTGACCCTGTAAGTACTATGGATAGTTTATTACACTGGTCTAAATGGGAATATACAGTATTATGTAAGAAAACCTTGTAATGATTAGAATACAATAGTTTGTCATATGGGTACCCTTGCTGTTGTTAATATTTTCAGCCATAGTTGATAAAAATTACATAAAAGTAATTTGTTTTCCATAATGTTTGATATTTGTGAAACAAATCAAAAAGTCAGCAGGTTAAAAAAAAGAGCATAGGAAGGAGGGCTTGCTTCTAAGTGTTATACACATTTAAATAGTATCATCTAGTTTTAATTCTGGTTTACTTGTTTTTCACAAATTGCATTATTATTGTGCTGTACTTGACTGGTTTTAATCAAGCATTATCAACGAGGATTTTGTTTAGGAATGATTAGTAGCCTGAACTTGGGCTTTTCCTGAATGATGTAAAAACTGGTTTTACATGAAAGTAGTGAAAACTGGAGTCTGAACTTGGGCTTTTCCTGAATGATGTAAAAACTGGTTTTACATGAAAGTAGTGAAAACTGGAGTCTGAACTTGGGTTTGTCCCTGAACGATGTAACAACTGATTTTAGACGAAAGTAGTGAAAACTGGAGTCTGAACTTGGGTTTGTCCCTGAACGATGTAATAACTGATTTTAGACGAAAGTAGTGAAAACTGGAGTCTGAACTTGGGTTTGTCCCTGAACGATGTAATAACTGATTTTAGACGAAAGTAGTGAAAACTTGGAGTCTGAACTTGGGTTTTTCCCTGAACGATGTAAAAACTGATTTTAGGACGAAAGTAGTGAAAACTGGAGTCTGAACTTGGGTTTGTCCCTGAACGATGTAAAAACTGATTTTAGACGAAAGTAGTGAAAACTGGAGACTGAACCTGTTATTATAATACTGTAATCACAAGGTTAATTTTAGCCTACAAGTACTTGGCCTCTGTAAAAAAGAGGAGTTCAAGGATCTAGGATATGAAAAGATGAATGTAATGGTTTGCTACAGTGGAATGAAAGAGAAAAAATACTGTGTTAAAGTCACAGTGAAAGTAGGATCCTTTAAAGTATAAATAAAAACAAAGATAATTGAAGAATGTAGTTGATACTTAAGGTACCTGGTAAACTGAAGTACCTATATTCATGATACTTCAACAATTAAGGTACCTGTAAAACTGAAGTAACTATATTCATGATACTCCAACACTTAAGGTACTTGTAAAGCTGAAGTAACTAGATTCATGATACTTCAACACTTAAGGTACCTGTAAAACTGAAGTACCTATATTCATGATACTCCAACACTTAAGGTACCTGTAAAGCTGAAGTAACTAGATTCATGATACTTCAACTCTTAAGGTACCTGTAAAGCTGAAGTAACTATATTCATGATACTCCAACACTTAAGGTACCTGTAAAGCTGAAGTAACTATATTCATGATACTTCAACACTTAAGGTACCTGTAAAGCTGAAGTAACTATATTCATGATACTCCAACACTTAAGGTACCTGTAAAGCTGAAGTAACTATATTCATGATACTTCAACACTTAAGGTACCTGTAAAACTGAAGTAACTATATTCATGATACTTCAACTCTTAAGGTACCTGTAAAGCTGAAGTAACTATATTCATGATACTCCAACACTTAAGGTACCTGGTAAACTGAAGTAACTATATTCATGATACTCCAACACTTAAGGTACCTGGTAAACTGAAGTAACTATATTCATGATACTCCAACACTTAAGGTACCTGTAAAGCTGAAGTAACTATATTCATGATACTCCAACACTTAAGGTACCTGTAAAGCTGAAGTAACTAGAATCATGATACTTCAACACTTAAGGTACCTGTAAAACTGAAGTAACTATATTCATGATACTTCAACTCTTAAGGTACCTGTAAAGCTGAAGTAACTAGATTCATGATACTTCAACTCTTAAGGTACCTGGTAAACTGAAGTAACTATATTCATGATACTTCAACACTTAAGGTACCTGTAAAACTGAAGTAACTATATTCATGATACTCCAACACTTAAGGTACCTGTAAAGCTGAAGTAACTAGATTCATGATACTCCAACACTTAACTTTCATTGCTATACCATTTTGACTTTGCATTAATAAATATTAATAATTCATTAACGTCACCAAATCTAAAACACAAACATTTGAATACATGGGATGATAATTGTGAAACATTATGAAATATATATTAAATTTTTTTGTCAATTTGTGATTTGTAATTCAATCAAAACCACTACAGAATATAACTGTTTATTGATTTGTAATTCAACCAAAACCACTACAGAATATAACTGTTTATTGATTTGTAATTCAACCGAAACCACTACAGAATATAACTGTTTATTGATTTGTAATTCAACCGAAACCACTACAGAATATATATTTGTTTATTACACTGATGTGTATACTCCATGTATATATTGATCTGAAAGCAAGTTCTCCTACATATATCATAAGATACCATTTAAAAGATAGTATTAATTCCACTCTATATTATATGTAAAACTTACCTATGTCCTCCTCCTACTAATTTAGATACTGTTTCTTACCTTTGACCTGAGGACAAATTGTGATCTTAGTTGATTGATGGTCTCAAGATCTTGTAAACACAAAATTAACTGCAAGACAATTACTTTAGTAAAATAAATAAACATTAATTTATTACTTTTCTGAAGCTTACAAATAATAGGATAACATAGCTAATTGACATCAAGAAGTCCTACTGAGCCTAAAAACTCATTCAGGCAAGTTGAAAGTCATTCTTGTGTAACTATTTAAGGAAGGAAGCTATTAGGTAAACAGATTTCCAAAAAAGTAAATAATCCTCGATTTCTAGATGATATATTTACAATTTTGTCTGCTTCAGAAACATGAAAATGTAAAAGAAAACATCAGGCTAGTTGAATGTTATAGTTCATGGCATCTTGAACTTTTAAAATTCACTGTTTTCAAACTATTTGAGCCAAAAATAAGACTCTGATGAATGTAAAGTTGTGGCTTAGATTCATTCAGGAACAAGTTGTACGTGTGCAGGCTCAAAAGTCAATAACTTCCATCATTTAAATAATAATTCTAACAGAAGGCTGAATATTGACAATTAGGGCAATATTTCAATCTTTTCTAATTACCTCATCAAAAAGAAATGTTAATAAAAATTATATTAAAAGAAAATTTAAAATCTTCACATTTCAGTTATAATCCTATTTTGGAGGAAATTTTTGGGGATACATCAAAGTTTATGTCATCATCATCAGTATCCCCTCCCCTTAATTTATAGACTGCAAAGCATTAAGATATGTGGAAAAAGAAGTAACAACATAACACTTCAACACTTGAGATAAAACGTGTAACCATAGTGTCGTATTCCATTTAAGCAGACTTATTATTTTTCCATTATCATGTTCATGTTACAAATTGCATCCTCAATCTTTTTTTTGCAGGGTCGATCTTACCAGGATAGGGGTAAAGTAAGAAGTGCAAACCTTGAAATACTCTTCGATAACAGCAACCGTAATCTGTATGACAATTTCGAAGGCAGTAATCTCAGAGGTAGTGTGTTTTTAATTTAATCACATGAAGAAGTTTTATATTTAAGTTAATAGTGAAATTCTTTATGTAGTACAGTACCATGATTTGTGGTAAAAAAAAACAGCTTTGTTAGTACTGAGCTAGTCAGCCACCAGGTTGTATATTTTAAATTATTCCTGTTAATCGTATACAGACTTTTTTAATGTTGGCTGGATTGAAGTCAGTTGTTTCATTTCAGTAATTCTTACTAGGATATGATTGAAAATTAATTGATAAACATCATGATATTATATAAGGGAGGTTTTGGATTCATGGCTATCCAATTTATTGTGACGAGTGAGAAGCTAACATGTTGAGCTACTAGTAGAGACCTTTATTATATATTCATTAAAAAAAGTCGTTGGCAAATTATTTTTTAAGTTGATGAAACTCATCATATTACTCCGATGTTAAGGATTTGTGAAAACTAAAAATATTTTGCTTATTGCACATATGATAGATGTGATAAGTGCGTGAATATTTTGTCTTTGTTTAAAAAACCTTGCTGTACTTTATGTGGTACATAACTGTGGAACCAGTATGGTGCTTTGGGTTATTATATTTGGTTAATAATGAAGGGTTGTATTAAGAAAATGTAACACTTATTAAATTTATAAAAAAGTATCAAAAACTCTAACTGAGATTTTTTTCAAAGATACAAAAATGTTTACAAGAGGGTCAGTACATTTTTTCTGAGAAATCTTGCTCATAAACACTCATTTATACAGTCATGCTAATCTGTTTTCGTCATGTCTTGGGGTAAGACTGTGTGATTTACAATTTGTGTGGAGGGATTATTAGTCAGACACAGTTCAAAGGTCAATAAAATAAACAATTTATAAATATGAATAGATGTGTAATGTTACAAGATTTCAGCTATTTAGAATAAAACACTTGTGGTTCCCTGTTACAATTTATAGTTTTTCTAGAATGTAAAAGGAATAATTCAGATTTATTTCCTAATTTTTTATGGTGGTTATTATGTAAATCAAATCAACAAATCCTATAGAGTTATGGTAGAGAAAATAGTTTGATAGTTATTTAGGAGATCATAGAGGTTATACAAATGAAATTTGGTAATATTCAGAAGGAAGAAAAATATTTAATCTTAAAATCAAAATTACTTTGCATGTTGGATAGTCAACATTCCAAAAGAATGTTTTTGACATTTGGTGTATGAAAGTGTTGTAATTTTTACTGATAATCTGCAAAATTTTGTGAAGATACACATGCATTATCAAAAGCTATAGTGTAACTATCATGGTTACTTACTGGTTGCAATGCAAAGAGTAGCCAAAGGGTAAAACTTTAACAGTAAACATTACAATGCTTTCGTATGCAAAATATCAAATTTTTTTTGTCAGCTCTTAAGGTTTGTTAAGCAATGTTTTTCTCATGCCTTTTTTTTTTCTTTTCACATGTTGCCTATCAAACATGCAAAGTAATTTTCATTTTAAGATTGAAAATAGTTTTATGCATAAGAAAATTTTTCACACTTCACATGCGAAATCTTTATAACCTCCAAATAATCATCAAACTTTTTTTAAAAAAAAACTTTATATTTTATCTGTTATTTTCACTATTGAATCTTTTTACAGGTACATTAGATTTCACTGATCTCATAAACACCATAAAAAATTGAAGTAAATATAAATTATGCCTTTTTCGTTCGAGAATGACTACAAATTATAACTCAAAAACACAACTGTTTAGTCTAAATAGCTTAAATCTCATAATATTATACATTTATATATATATTTATTATATTGACCTACAGCCATGCCTGACTAACAATACAGAAGTTACAATGACAAGGCGCACAGGCCCGGCATGGCCAGGTGGTTAGGGTGCTAGACTCGCAATCTGAAGGTCGCGGGTTCGAATCCTCCTCACACCAAACACCCTTTCAGCCGTGGGGGCGTTATAATGTGACGGTCAATCCCACTATTCCTTGGTAAAAGAGTAGCCCAAAAGTTGGCTGTGGGTGGTGATGACTAGCTGCCTTCCCTCTAGTCTTACACTGCTAAATTAGGGACGGCTAGCGCAGATAGCCCTCGTGTAGCTTTGCGCAAAATTCAAAACAAACAGACACGGCGCACGGCGTGTTATTGTGTGAAGTCCTGTATCGAAAGAAAGAATTGGCGTCATAATACTTTAAAATGGCTGAGAAAACCTCTAGGGGGACATTCTGAATTTTCGATTGGTTATTCATATGTCATAGACAGAACTAATTGTATGCGAGGAAGTGTCTCCAAAAATGGAAAGAGTTTGGCGGAGCCACTGTGTTTGATTTAGTACACGAGCAGTATCTCAGCAAATAGAAAAGACAGGAGGTTCTTATTTTATATTCTAGCTTGTCAATATCCTAATTCGTAAGAAACTATAGACTTTTTATTTTGGCATCATAAACATCTAATTTGAACCAGTGTTGCATTCATCATACCACGTGACACATAAAAATCGATGTTTAGGTGTTTTTATCATTTAATTTTAAATTCATAATGAACTATACTAAAATTTGAATTATAATTTAGAATTTGATACCAAACTTATTGACATAGATTCTTGAAATAGTAGTACAATAAACTTTTCAATGCGATTCAACAAACGCGATGACATGGCTTTTGACCCGTGTGACGAGTGTTAATTTTATTACAATATTTCGACCGCCATTGTGACCATCATCAGTGTATAGTGGATTTCCTCTCCTCACAAAAAGTGTTACAGGATTGTTGAACAAAAAAGATTTGCTAATCAAAATAATAAATTCAAGGCAAATTATTATTAAGTATTAAAACAAAAACAAACGGTTATTTGATATACCTTGAAGCAAGATATATATAGGCCTGTTGCACAGAATTTTGGCTTTCTATTGGTTATCATACCTAGCCAAGTTGTTGCCAAACAACAAACCAAAAAATTGAGAGAGGGGTGGGCTTGGTTTTCCCTCTGTAGATATATTTATTGATTTATCAGTCCAAAAATGAGGTCGAAGTTTCATAACTAGTAGTTTTTACTTGTTTTAAATATTATTTGTAATTGTTTCTAAGACTCATAACGTTGGTAAATTAATATACACGGACTTTACTCTACGTTAAAATCATTTTATTTTATTTGCGAGCTTTCAGCCCTCTTACCGGAGCCTTTATTGGGCAACGATACAGAGAAAAGTTCGTGTATAATTCTACATATTACTTGTACTTGTAATCCACTGGAAAGGGTAGCTACACAGTAACGGTTTGAATGTTGAAATCTACTGGCAAAGCGTAGGAAACCAATAGGTCTAATACAGAGGTTGAGTACATTATGTTAAAACGATTTCGGAGCCTCACCACATCGTAGCAATCCACCAAGTCTGTTCATACTCTATCTGATGACTGTGCATCTTGAGAATAATCTTATAGCATATGGTTTCCATTGTAAGGCAGTCGTGTTCAAAGTATAACTGAAGGATTTCTGCACGATCAGACTGTTTATATGGGCACGAAGAAACCATCGTTCTCCTACACTAGGTAGATTATGTAAAGCAACAGAGATGCTGTTGCTTTTCATAATCTATGTAGTGTAAGAGGACGATGGTTTCTCACTGCCCTTTTCAACAGTCTAATTGCACAGAAATCCTTAAGTGCTACATTTGGCAACTTGTTGACTAATATGTCCAGTGGTCAAAGGGAGGGGGCAGCATATTCCAGTATGCATATCAGTAAGAAAAATAAATACGGTGTGACTCTTGGAAAAATAACAGAGTATTATTAATAAAATGTTTTAGTGCTGGAAAACACCAAGAGGTGTAGTGGGGTGGGCACGGCGTACCTGTACATTTGTTTAGGCGAAACACAGTACTGCTACTGTTTCGGAAGAATCAAATCAAATAATAGATTTCGTGTTCTGACTCTTCTTTACTTAGCACTACACCTCTACGAACACCCTATCTGCACCTCTTTCGTTTTGCATTAAATACGTTTGACTTTAATGCTTTGGTGTCTGCAATTATAGCAATAGTATGTTTCACCTCATGTCACTGCCCTTAGACTTGATAAGAACCATCTTGCCTCCCCTCCCCAAATATTATAAGCACTGGGTGTGTGTCCCTGTATGGAATAGCATGAATACCCATTTTATTTTCCAGCTGCTTGAAGTATATAATGGGTGAATGGATATTTTATAGAAGCAAATAGTGTACATTCGACTTTTGTTGCTTTTCCAAATGGAGATCCTTCTTTATTATGTTGTGTAATGTTGCCCATGTCACGTGGACGACTTTTATGGTCGTGAATTTTCACCTGTTACAAGATACCACATTTTGCTTACCATGACGGGGTAAAATTTTTGGCAGGTCTCTTTCTGGACAGTCCTGGTCACCTAATCTCCAAGATGATACATATTCCTTCTGATCCGGTCTTGGCAGTAGTTTTAGTTTTAACTAGGGGTGTTCAGAAACAGTAGTTTCTCTTCGCCCCACACGCAAAGCTTATAGGGCAGAACAATAACGATAAAGGTTTTAAAGCTGTGAGTACAGGCCTTTAAAAAATTGCAAAGTTTAGCGATGGAGGGTAAAATTATTTAACGGTATCATTGAATGGTGTGGCTATAAACTGAAGTGTTCACATGTTCACTCGAGACATCCGGAAAAGCCATGCGTGACGAGAGCCGGAAACAGGAAATTTAGAGAAGTTGTAGTTGCTTGTAGGGTAGATAGTTGAAGCTTGATTATCGGTAGATAGATACCTGTTGGGTGACGACTACTGAGAGACTGATAGACCAAGGCTGTATCAAGGGTAGCCAGTTCTTAGTAAACAGATGTTTATGAATTTTACTGAAATTAGTGAAATAAGAGGTCAGAGTGACTGATTTAATTTGATTAACAAAGTATATAATTCATTCTTAATTATTTCCATCGTTTTACATTTGATGACATGGCAAACAGTTGAATTGGAATCAGTGCAATATTTTTCTTTGGGATTACTTTGGTCACTGCAGATTTCCATATAAACGGATAGTATCCTTATTGCGGGGACGGGTTATATACTGTTGTTAAAATGAGTTAGGGTTTGATCGGAGAGGTTTTTAAAGATTAGATTTTTAATACAATCTTCGCGTCTTATTTTTTTAGGGCTTATTTTTAATTCAGTTAAAGGGAAGGGTCTCGAATAGAAGTTATCATGCGCGGGGTTTTGGGAATTTAGGGGAAAAGAGTTTTTTTTTATGATATGATTGTTCACAGAGAAAGTGAGATTGGGGTTACGAATGTGTTTTGGTAATACTGAACGAATAATTCAGCTTGTTCGGCGTCAGTTATACCGTTGTATTGAATGTTACTGTTAGGTATAGTGGTAGTTATTTAGTATTGGTTACAACTTTAAATTTTTTCCAGATAAGTGAAAGATCGGGTTTGGAGTTATCAACAGATTTACATAATTTATCCCAATTTTTTCTTGTTGTTTTTTAATGAGCTTCTTAATTAGGTAATGTTTGTCATTAATGAGGGGTTTGAATGTCGGGTCACGGTGCGAATGAAGTTGCGTCTGAGTTGCCTTTTGTATAGGATTAGTCTGTAAATTTTGGGGTAAGTTCCCAAGCACTGATGTCGGAAGAAGATATTTGATCAAAAAGATTGTTACATACCCTTTCCAAAAAAAGGATCAATTTTCGGTGGAATCATAATACCTATGAAATGACAAACAATGTCAACATACTTCTGATACATGCTATTCCACCGCGACCTTATATCGGTTACAGTTGTCACGTGACTTGCTGATTTAGATATGCAAGGTTAGTTTAATATAATGTACTCAACCCCGTATTTGTGATAAAAAGCATGTAAACTGCAGATGTTTTCTCACATTTCTCTTCATTTAGTTATTTCGTATTTAAAATCCGAAGTGTGTTAAAATGGCATTTCAAATATATTTTCTGCCTCATAAAAGTCAATATTAAACTTTGTCAGGTGGGCTGGTCATTTAGAGACAAAAGTTTATCTGATATGCATATACAGATACATATATAAAAGCAACACTCTGTTGGTAACTTGCAAATTGACTCAGTGGTTATCTCAAGCGTAAGTCCCTTCACCCTCAAATTCCTTATCTTTGCCATCATAATTAATAAATCGCAGGGTCATACATTAGACCATGTAGGAATGTTTCTTCGACAGCCAGTTATTTCGCACGGTTCAATCTATAAGGCTTTATCAAGAAGCATAAAGTCAAAATTCTAATCAAGGGCCACTTACTGGAGATGGCCAAATATGCACACAAAATGTTGTTTTCGTGAAATACCAGAAAAAGGAAAAACATTTTTTACGCGTATATTGATGCTAAAATATAATTTTTATAAAACATGTTCATAAAAACATTATTTACATTTAATTCAGAAGAAAATTTAATCAACATTTACAACTACTTCACATATATATATATATAGTATATGACTTTAAAATTCATGGACATCAAAGCCTTATCACAGTAGAAACTATGCTGCAGGGATATTGCCAAGATGCATTGTTATCAGCTAGAGCATTACTGAAAGTGGCAAGCTAGGTAACAATGACGTGATAAATCTCCAAAATTGTTTTAATATAATCTACTACTCAACCTCTGTACATATTAAAACTTTACCACAACTACACAATATATATATATA